TTTTGACAATTCGTAGACTAGTGATATAATAACTTGAAGGCACTCTTTTTGCAAACTCTTATTTCGATATAGATTATAGATGGAATGTAAAATAATCAATTTTTTTTTATTTTCCCATGTAAAACTTGGTTGTACCATCCCATGTGTAAAATCTAAAGTGTGTAGCTTGTTTATTTAATAAGTTATCGCACTATTAGTAGTTTTAATCAAATCCGTTATATGGGGGGTGGGAGGGAGTTAGCACCCCATTTGCACACTTTCAATAGGAGTGCTAAAAATAATTGTTCAGAGTAAATTTGGTTATTACGTGTATAGCATTAGTTATTTCGGAGATATGCACATTAAACATGCAGATGCCCTCCCTAATGCAATTCGTTATACCAAATAACAGTCTTGCATCTTAATGTGGAGCATAATTGTGCCAATTCTTGGTTTGCGATTAATAGCGTTTTGTGAACATCGTGGTCCGATTACGCCCATCTACAATATCATCTACAATACAACCATCTTCCTATGGTGTCAAGAAATATGTGTACCAAGTTTCATCAAAGGTCGAATATATAATATATGATGTAGAAATGGAATTTTTTTTTGAGTCAAATACGTCAAAAACTTTCAAAATTTGTTTTTTAGTTTTTCTTCACAAGTATATATACTTAGCGTGAAAGTATTATTTTTCTAGGCAAAACGAAAAGCTTACTCTTCAACTCTTATTGCGTAAGAGCTAAGTAACACTCACCGCATAATTATTATTTTGTGAGGAATAAAAAAACTGTTATCAAATAACTCATATTTTGTAATAGAAAAATAAAAATCAATATATAACGATATATAAGGAGGAAAAAATTTAAATTGAAAATGAAATATGAACTTGATTTTTTGCCCATTTCCTCATAACTGTTACGGTCCCTGATCCTAGATATATAACCCTATATCTAACTCGATTAATTTTAGGTGATACAAACAACCATTAGTTGAACAAAACTAGTATACATGTACTCTGTAGCAACATGCTGAAAAGTATAAAAATGTATAATCATAATTATAAATTATTTCGCGATTTCTTGATGAAACTTGTGGAATCAAACTATTACTGCTCTCACAACATTCTGATAATCGGAAAATTATAAAGTGCTCTAACTATAATTTTGAAGCAGTCGGGAGGGGCATCTGTGATTCAAAAATATAAAAAAAAATTCTCTGCACTCAAAGATGTTTTAAATACAGTCAATCCCAGTTAAGTACCACACTCGCTTTGGTACCACATAGTTTTGTGCTTCATTCAAAAATTTATTTATAAATTTCTCCCTCTTATGTGCCACTTCAAAAACTTATTTTATTTTATTTTTTATTAAAACACATACAACAAAAATTTTATTTGTAAACAATATGATCTCATATTGCATTGCATATAAAGCAAAAGTTTTTTTCTTACTTCGTTACTTTATAATTAATATTTAATATTGCTAAAGAACAGCAAATTTTTATTAATTAAAACTTTATTGAAAAAGATTACATCTATATTTTTTTAAAAGATATTTTTATTAAACAGATCGTAAGTACCATATGTGTAGTACAATACCTAAGCGGAATTCTTTTAAGTGTCATTTCCTCTTAGGCACCCCAAATCTGCATCTTTGGTTGGCGCACTTAACCGGGATTGACTGTACATATCTCACAAACCACTAAAGCTAAATTGATCATATATATATGTTAGAGGCTATAAATTTTACAGCTACGATAATACGAAAAGGGTACATAGGATTTAGTGTAAAAATTTTATGTGAAACCATACCCATACCTCTGCAACTACCAACCAACTTCAACAATAACATTTTTATGTTTCAACCACGCCTACTTCACAAACATATATCACAATTATGAATTTCGCCTGATTCTTTCACTTTACAATATTGTATACATATATGTACATACATCAGGCACCAATTAAGACATCAGAACAAAACTTTACAGAAATCACCTTAAGGTCTATGAATTTTCAACCCTCAGATACCGAATATTTGGGCCTCAGTTGCTTGCTGACTTTATGACGAAAATATCGCTCAGTCTGTGATGTATACCATCTTATCAAATTTGACCAAATCTTTATTGTAGCCTTCAAAACAGGCCCCTGAGAATGCGCTTAATCTAGTTTTTCATGTACTTATAAGCTTTAGCTGAGATGACCTACAGTGCCTTCCGCGATTCTACGTTTTTTCGGTTTTGGCTCATTTTTGGAGCGCCATTTGCTAGATTGTTGAACAGTTTCGGCGTCATATTCATAAACCCACGTCTAGTCCGTAGTAATGATGCGTTTGATGAATGTAGGATCCTCCGCTACATTTCAGTACTTGTTTTACGACCTCTATTCGACGTCGACGTTTTTTAAGATTTAGATTTGTTTAATGAGAATAACATTGATACGCTTCATTCCTAAAATGTGTTGAGAAATGTTGAGATCCTCTGCTTTTTCTCTGATGCCAACACGACGACTTTCAAGCACCGTCTGTTTTTTTCGATGTTAACGTCATTAACAGAACTTCACGACCTCAGTAAAGGTTTGCTTCGTACCGTTCAAATAAAATCAAAACTTTAGATATCTGATAAAACTTTGAACATGTGTTCACTGCCACCATGCATTTCGATAGGCAGAATCGGACCACTGCCGCGTCCACAAAATGCCGCTGATCGAAACCCTGTTAAATGCTATAACAATCAAGTAAAATTGGGCATAATGCCGCCCACTCCCCATAAAACGGTTAATGAGCCAATTTTTATAAATGCAAGAACTCACTAAGTACATACGTACATGACACAAATAGGCCTCACGGAAGCCGGTATCAAAATTGGACAATGAACACCTTTGGGTTAAATCATACATACAGGACATTGGTTAAAAGTAATGTCAGCGTTCCGCTCTAATAACAGTGCATCCTTGTATCTAAAATGGATAAAATCGGGTGAATATTTCTTCTAGCCCTTACTTTCGGTTGGCCTATTACCGTATATATCGATCAATCTGTGTCAATATCTTAACAAACTTAAGTCAACATATACTTGTAATATTGGATGTGCTATAGTTTAATGCCGAAAGTGCCATATAGTACATATAATGTTTTTGCTATTGTAGCAGACTTTATGCCGAATGTGTCGGTCAGTGTGAGAGGTATCTCATAAAATTGCTTGGAAACATGTTCCCGAGTATACTTGAGTAATGGCAAAAGTTATTGCAATCAGGCCAGATTTTTCCCTAGCTGAAATATTCGCGATATAGTGATTTGCATGCTTACATCTAAATTTAAAACTTTTATATTGGTCATTATGTGTTATATTTAAATGAAAGTGGACAAGGTTTCTTGAAAAAAATATGGTTTAGCACTAAATATGAATGAAAGAAATCTGAACGTCATCTGAACCTCATATTCCTAATATAATGATTTTCGATTATTTGGTTGAATTCTTCCTTACATTCTCAATGTAAAACAAAAACAAACTCTGAGGAAATTTTTCAAATCGGACCACTGTAACATATACATAGCTGTCATACAAACTGGACGATCAAAACTATGTCCTTGTATGGAAAACTTTTTTAATTGACGAGGTATCTTCACGATTTGGCTCAAATTATTAAGGCAACGGTACCATTCCTGAAGAAATCGTTCAAATTAGAGTACTTAAGCATATAGCTGCCATACAAATCAAGTTCTTGCGTGGAATCTTTTGTATTTGTAAAGGGTATTATAGTTTCGGTGCAACCAAGTTAACGTCTTGTTTTTGTTTAACTAAATGTTGATTTAAATGTTGAAATAAAGAACCTTCACAATCTAAAGTTTGATTTGTTGTTAGTTGCTTACATCTATTATACCTGTATTAACAATGGTTGATAACTTTGATAGCTTACTACTATACATTGATTGTTACTCTTATGCCGTGCGTAAATACATAGTATAGGTAAGCCTCTCTTTACATTTTCTTATTTAAGTATTTCTATTTTGTATTTTATATTTTTCTTTTTTTGAATTCTTGCTTCTTGTTGGCATACAGTATATGTGAATCAAATGCATACATACGGTTTGGATTTGCATACAAACGGATGCACACACTCACACTTACGTACATATGCATATGTGCTACCTAATGTGTGTTGTTCATTTATAAGTATTTGGCTGGAAGCCTTTACGTAGGCTTTGCACGTTTGTTTGTGTAATTAAACATTTTGTATAATTTTGACTACACACCTACCCATACTTGCATGTATGCAGTTTTTAAATATATGCGAAGCCATATGTGTATGTATGTATTCATTCAAACGAAAATTAGTTACCGTTGCATTTACATACATTTTCATTTTTTTAAGTGATATATTTTACACCAGAACGAGTTTTTTACTATGGATTTACAAATGATTTACTTCATTGTTCCGTTTTTCATTTAGCTATTTTTTCAACAATTTTTGTTATGCTTGCGAGATTCGTTATTTGTGCAAAGCTCAAAGTATGCCTTTATTTTGGAACACTTTCTGCCGCTTATTTCGTGTCAGAACACTATGTTTCAATCTTTTGAAGCTGCTGCTGCTCCTGTAACACAAGCTCTCAACTTGATATATTCAAACACCATGTATTGCCACATTTTCATGTGTTTTTGTATCGAGTGCATATGAATATTACCGAGTACGAAGGAGTAGGTAAACAGGCGAATTAATCGACGAAAATTAGGAATGCGGCTGTCACTGCTGACTCTAGCGATTGGAAACCGTGCGCACAACACAGTAAGACCATTGTGGCAACGGTAATCGCAACGGCAACGACAAGCAGACAATGACAGCGTTTTTCCTGTTACGCAGACATGTCCAGAGATAAACACAGAGTTACAAACGCACACACAACGAACGTAAGAAGCAGTAAAATTAGGGGCCAATGTTTATATTGAAGAATTTCCCACGAAAAACCGAAATTTGAAATATATGACATAATAGTTATCACAACATTGGAGCCACTCACTGTATGGTTACCGTTTTAGACGCATATTCGCAAGTCCCTTATTAGAAGAGGCAACACATCATTCTCACGTTGCTAACCTTTTAACCGTGTTTACACAATACACATACGAATTTCTTAATCGTACATTACATATCCATATAAAAACATATTTTCACTATTTTAAGTGAATATATATTATATTTATATATTTACTCAGTGAACAAGGCCATTTATATACATATATTAGCCCATCATATTCCTTTTATTATTTTTGTTGATAAAATTTTTGCAATTCTTTCTTTATAAATAAACGTATTCACAGGGTTTCTACATCCAAGCGCCAATAGAAATTAAAGATAACTTTTTAATTAATTTCTTAACCGTTTTTTTCGTTTTTTGCAATATTTTTCAAACAATACGCATTTTTGGCCACCGATCGCTACAACTAAAACTTTCCGTTTCTGTAGTAATTTTTGGAAGTGAGTCTAAATCAAACTGAGTTTCGAAAGCACGCGCAACTTGACATGCGCCCTGAATAGGTCGAAGAGCACAATTTTAAAAACAAAATAACAAGTACTAGAAACAATACCAGCCTATATGAAGAAGCTCGCCAACCCTTAATCGTACCCAATACTAGCTACTACCCGCCAACTACCCTTCGATATGTGCACAACCCCAGCACGAGCAGCGCCACCATTGATGTGGGCACTTTAGGTAAGCACAGGCGAAAGGCAAACATACAAAACCAACTAGATTTATATGCATGTTGTATGTTTATACATACCCTGCAGTCGAATCAAATAGGTTTAGGTTGCTATAGAGCTAGTGTGTACCACAAGCCCAACTAGTCAGCCAACTGGACTGTTATTTTTCCCATGTTGCTGTACTAAGAGAAGTCAAATGCGACTTTCAGATATATAACCTCTGCAGTGAAGAAACAAAAAAGCCAGGAAACATACTACGCTTTATTTATAATTTCTTGAAATGAAATGAATGAAATCGTGCTAGTCAGAGAAACAAACTAGTCGGACAGCAGTTTACAACACGAAATTTTGGTCGGCCATCCAGCTAGACACATCCGACTTATGCCAATTGCAGAACGATTTTCTAATATGCTATTTTATTTGGCCAGTAATTTTTCCACTTAACCGAACTAGAAAAACTTTGTATATTTTGTAACTGCTAAAACGGGTATATTTCTGACAAATAAATTTTTAGGCATTTTATGACTAGTTGATTTAGCTGCAGGGTATGTACATACACATTCAATTACGTGCACATATACGTATACGTATACATAGATATGTTGGTTACTCGTCGAAATTTCGACGAGTAACGTCAATTTGTTTGTGTTGGAACTGGTCGTGTGGTTAAGTGTAGCATAATGTTAGGCGAAAGAAAATTATAAAATTTGTAATAAAAGAAACGTTACAGTACATCAATGTTAAACCGTTGACGTACGACACGGCGAAATTTAGTCGTCAGTAGGTAAACATTTCATATATTTATTATACATATAAATACATATACGAATATATATTTTTAAGGGGGGGCGTAGGGTTTTTACTTTCGAAAAATCGATTTTTTTCTCTTATCTTATTGTTTAACATTTCAAGAATATGTCCTTAAAATTTTAGGTCGATAGAAGCAACATTCTTAAAGTTATTGTCTTATTAATCTCCTGGCCTTTAACGCTCCAACCAATAGTTCATAAACTTTAGACGCGTTTTTCTCAAAACTACTTTTTCAAAGTCCACTTCACTGTCATTTCAAAACTACTTGACCGATTCATTTCAAACTTTATACACATTTTCGACACATAAAATACCATCCCCCAACGTTTAGTAAAATTTTTTTTTTTACATTAAGGGTGTTTTCCATCCCCAATATGGCGAAATTTTTAGTGGAAAATAACAGTTTACACTTTAAATATATATTTTAAATGAAAAACAATTATCAGAGAACGTTGGGGGGGAAGATTTGATCAAAATTTAACTAATTTTTCTTGGTTTTTTTTTCGGATAATTTCCAGCCGAGTTATGGCGAACACCCCAAATTGTTATTTTTTCTCAAGACGTTCTGCGGGAAGCTCTGTTACCGGCTTATGCTTCAATATTCCTGTATGAAAAAATTACCCTATATTGTCGAAAGTATGCTCAATAATGTACAAAAGGTCCGAATAAAATTACTCAATCCATATTTAAGAAAAAAATTCGCAAAAAAAGTCTTTTTTTACCTTGAAACCCTACCACCAAACCATTTGGAGTCCACGCAACACGCGTACGTCAAAGGAAAGTTGGGACAATCGAAAGTTCCTCAGATAAGCGAGAATTTACTCTAGCGCCATTCATTGACGTGGAAGGTGAATTCAAAAACGCTAGTGCGGCTGCACTAATAACGGCTTTGGCTGCTTTTGACATTAATCAGAACCTGTCAGCCTGGTTAAGTCATATGTTAAGCCATATACCTCGATCAATGAATTAATACTTCTACTCGACAGAGATATAAAACATGGTGCGGTGATGTGGTGGATGACATTATGGAAATAGTGCTGCATTAATCGCCTGAAACAGGTGCAAGGAGAAATATGATGCAATGCTTATGACCAGCCTGCTCATGACTTTAGGCCATTGGAACCAGACTCGGCGTCAATACGGGCATGGTATCATACTCGACCATGTTAATGAATTCGGGCTTAATTGACAATGCGAGCGAGAAATGGAGATCCATGAGGAATTAAACACAATGTTTTCATTGTCCAGTAGATAAGAATGGGCCAATGGTTCTGTGATCGACAGTTCCAACGGCAAAAGCTACATATGCACCGACGGATCGGTTCGGTGAAATAGGAACAGGAGCGGGCTTCTTCTGTAATAATTCATACGCAGAAGGTAGCTTCAACCTACAAATGTGACTACTAATAACACTATTCAGTTTTCAGGCCGAAATTTTTGGTATTACAGAAGGCGTCAAGTAGTCAGCAAGTCCATAAACCTTCTAGTGGACAGCCAATGGCAATTAAGGCTATCCATAGCTCCAATACTACGTCTCACTGTTTGAGATATGCAAGCAGGCAATAACCAGACCCTCAGCAGGTAGCTCAGTTAATATTGTATCACCTGTGTATACATATATAGAGATAGAAGAAAACAAAAAGGCAGTAAGTTGCCCCAGACCATTCAGCTCCTTAAAAGTTGTTTGACGTAATGGACCCTAGAGGGACACCTCAGGTCTTCGAACACTATCAACACAGGGCATACCATAAAACACCTACCATTAAGATCCCAAAAGGGGATTCGGTGGAATGTCCAGCCTTCAGCCGGATGTATCCACATTTTACCAAATGAACTGAGGTGGATAAGGCTTAATTTGGTTACCACCCGGGAGTACAGTGGGGCTATTGATGGAAGATATACCACACAAGTTCAGAATGTTGAAAAGTGTTTGTAATAGCAGTCACTCTTGGAAAGTAGTTTATTAATTTTTTACTTTTTAAATGTATTTTACACGGCCAAGAAAAATTATTCACTAAATTTAATCTTGAAATATAAACATATAAATCGACATAAAAGATTTAAAGTCAGATGAAAAGTCAAGATCAACAGAAATCACTATATCGCGTGTATAGGGGGAGATCTAGCCTACAGGCATTAGCATTCGGCATTATAAAAATACACTCGAGAACATCTGTTCACGCAATTTTGTAAAGTCTGCTGGACTAATAAAAACCACTATGTGTAGTATATGGGAACAGAGGTAATTCGTGGGTCGATAACGCACATTTTCGGCACTAACCTATAGTATATCCAGTGTCATATGTTCTTTTAATTTTCCTAGGATATCTTAGATATTAACCGATATATACGGTATAAACCCAACTGGAAGTATAAAATGTTTATATAATTCTTAATAATTTTCTTATATAAGGTATATGGGACCAGAGAATATGTTGCCAAGATTTTATCCAGTTTGGGTATTAGGACTTATCATTACCAGAGATAGATTAACTCTAAATTTCATAAGGATACATCATAGATTGACCAAATTATAATTTTATCCGTTAGACTATAGGATGTGTGAAAATCCTTATATTAGTCATAAAGGGACTAATTGAAATATTTGCCGATTTTAGGCACAAAGATACACTGTTATTAGCAAGAGATTATTTCTGAATTTCATTAAGAAATTTTAAATTTTTTTTAAAGTCAACCGGAAGTTCGAAAGTAGGTACAGGGCTAGAGGAAGTATTCATCTGATATGAAAATATTCTCCCCGAATTGAATACCTAGTGTTGCAATCTGCCGACTCACAATTTTATCGTAAAATTAGACCTTTTTTTTTTTGATGTTATACATACTCTGAACGTTTTGGTATTCGAGCGCTATTTGTGTTGTTTACAGTTACTTAAAATATTCATCTCGGCCAAAAACTTTTTTAAAATCCAGAAAATTATTGCGGGGCTAATACTGTAATTGTTGTGAGTGAACCCAACTACGATTGCTTCTTCACAACTGGGTGTATGTGTCGCGGTAGAAGGGGAGTTCGGTAGGCTGATTGTAGCTAGTTTGTACTGCGAATTTAGTGAGACCCTACCTGGGCTACGTGGATAGGCTACTACTACTTGCGAGTAGTATCCCATTTATCCTAGGCATACGCCTGGATATCAAAGCCACAGTCGAGGCGAGGTATTTAGTGAATGGATGGTAGCCAAAAGCCTCCACATTGTGAGTGGGCCGAGTGAAAGTTACTCATTTGATGGGCCTACTGGCGAGAGTGACATCGACGTGACGCTTATGAATCAGGCAGCAGATAGGGCGTTCGTTTTTATATAGGATTATTACAGGATATATGGTTACTCTCAAATCCATTAGATGATGGCGAGTTGGGGTACGCCTTTGGCCTGGTCAGGTCTACACCGTCCCCAGGTTTTGATGGTTTGAACGGCGAGATGTGTGAAAGCTTGTGGAAGTTCATTCCAGAATACATGGAGGCCACTTATAATAAGTGCGTGTGGGAGGGTAATTTTTAACGCGAGTGAAAAGATGTTAGGGTTGTTCCTCTTCTGAAGTCCCCGGATAAGATCAGGAGCGATCCTCGTTCTTATCGGGCCATCAGCCTCCTTTCAGTACTTGGAAAAGTGCTGGTAAGAGTAATGGTGAAACGCCTCCAGGAGCTAACGCGAGGTATGTGGTCTGATAGGCAGTATGGGTTGAGGAAAGGACGCAGTGTAGAGGATGCTTGGTTCTACGTTCAGGATGTTGGTAGTGAGAATGTCAACAAATTCGTCCTTGGTGTTTTTGTTGACTTCAAGGGGGCGTTTCTATTACCTAAGCCCTTATGAACGAGTGGTGCAACGACTGGAGGAGCGTGGCTGGAGGATGCGTGGCTATCCGAAAATTACTCTTTGGCGGAGTTACTTTTCGGACAGAAAAGCCTCTTTAGTCGGAATGACTGGGAGTGTGGAGATCGGAGTGGTTCGTAGCTGCCCACAGGAATCCATCTGCGGTCCAAATGTTTAGAACCTTATGAAGGAATCTCTGCTCGGGCAGCTCGAGCTCATCTGCAAGAGTTGTTCGTATGCGGACGAAATTCTTCTTCTGATTGATATAGTCGAGGTTTAGGTGTGGGGATTGACATATCGATGGAAAAAACAGTGACAATGATACATAAGGGCAGATTGTCGTCGGTTCGTTCACCGATTTTCCGGGTGACTGGGGTCAGGTATGTGACAGAAGTCAAATAGCTGGGGCTAGCCAGTGAAGGGATGTGTTTCACTCCACACTTGGTGAATTTGAAGGAGCGACTCCAGGCAATCGAGGAGCGATTGTGGGCTCGGGCGCCGTGCTGCCTGCACCATATATCGTGGCTTATTTGTGGCTTTGGCCACTTATGGAGCCGCACTTTGGTGGAAATCAGCCATAAAAGCTCCTCTCGGTGCAACGTTGCTTGATGCTTGCATGTTTGCCTGTATGTCGCACCGTTTCGACGGATGCGATGCAGGTTCTGTTAGGTGCACCAGCTTTGCACCTGGTTGTCATACAGCGCGCTGTTCCATTCAGGTTAAGAAGGGGCTTGTGTGTGTCATTACTGCGGAATGATTGGATTTCAGATGATGACGTAGAATGGGAGGGATATCTAGGGAGCAATAGGCTTCTAAATGATAGAGTCAGCAGTAGGTTGCAATACCGTTTGGACAATAGCCCTAACGGTCGGGTGACTTATGAGTACATCAGGGACGTTAGGTTTGTTAATGGTAACCCTGACTTCCTATTTTGTCTGCTTCTTTAGAGAAAAACGTGTGGTTAAGATTTTTCCATATTTTATAACTGTAATGAGTGGACGGGGTCCCAGTTTGCAATGTGGTTCGACCGATTTGGTCGTAGCGGCAGCGTAGGCGTGTCGCCATGGCTCTTTTTCAATAGATCCCTGTGGCCGTTTCGCTCTTTTGCAGGTAGTTAAAGTCGATCACACCTTATGAATGCCAGAACACGGTGGTCAGCACCTTTGCAGCCGATATTACAGTTTTCGCCTTATTCGGAAGAGGTTCGCCGTATGAAGTTTACACTTTCGACGTTTCCTTCGGCTCTGATGGAAGACAAGAACTAACTCAGAAACTAGTTCATATTGCACATAAAACACCGGTTTGAAGTAGCCTCATGGTTGTGCTTGTTCTCCGGAGTGAGTGGCCGCGCTCCCATCGCGCTGAATATTTCATGCAGGATATGACCCACGTGATCTTTCGAGATAAGTTACCTCGAGCTCCTTCAATCTGCAGTCTGCATTACGAGATCATAATCGACTACAAATTGGCTGAATTTAGTAAAATTGATAGTAACCGTCAACGAGAATATATGAAAAATGATACTGGTGTCATCAGATGGTGAGACTTAGTTCATGTGGTACAAATTTTAAGTTTTTGATGGCTAATAGATTTCATGACAACAACATGTTTAAAGATTTGCTACCTGTGTTAGAACGAAAAAATTTTGTTTTTATTATTACACTGACGAGAAATTTACATAAAACCCTTCAGTGGACTGAAATTGCTTTTCGGAAATAACTGAAAACACATCGTACATTCCACGAGTATGTGCTACTTAATAATGATTTTAGCATCGCCAATATTCATTTCTTAGTTGGTAGTTTAATTAATCTTAATTAAATAAATGCAGAGAAATTAGTAAACCTCGTTATATTTAGATACCACTGTCCTTGATGATTTAATCAAATTATGCAACCATGGCGAATACTAATTGAAATCGCATACATAAATCACTAAGTCGCATTCGTATTGCCTTATACGCCAAATGTGGATGCACAGGACTATCTTAAGATTTCGTAATAAACTGTGTGTCTAACAGAAATGTATTTCCCTACTACAAATTTAACATAATCTTAATACGTAAAGAAGGAGTAAGATCGGGTATTTTCAATATTATCAGGTGTCGGTAGAGCTTTTAAAAAAAAAAAAAAAAAACATTAGCTTCGGTCGAAGCTATAATACCCTTCACATGTGTAAAAAATCAACTTTAATCCATATGTTCCGACTTATATAGTTATAGTCCGATTTCGACTATTCCTTGATGTATATACTTGGTATACCTTAGAGCAATTTAGTGAGCGTGGTAGTACCCCGCTGACGCCCATTTGCAATCAGGCTCCCCATTGTGCCAAGGGACACAGGTAAAAGTTTCATCACGATGTCTAAATTTTTACTCACACTCGCTTGCCCAGATTTCAACTCGTCTTCCTGATCATTTATATATACAGTCTTATATATCTGTATCTCTCTCAATTAGTTGTGTGGTGTTACCAACAACCGTTAGGTGAACAAATCTATTTGACTGTATAGCAATATGTTGCGAGAGTATAAAAAGTAATAATGTCCTTACAGTTTTATCATGAGTATAACAAAATTTCTTTTTGCCAAATTATTATGTAATTTATACGATTTTACGGTTATGTTAAGTTAAATATTTTATTTATGAAATGAATTATGAAATAAAATATTACTATTTTTATTTTATGACTGATAGATATAAATTACCATCCTTATTGCGGAATGCTAGTGGATTATAATTGCCCATACTATGCTTGCATTAGATGCTGAAGCAGGATTGCTACTTATGGAAGGTTACAGAAATCGGTCACTTTGAAAATACAGATAACAACTTAACATTTTTGGAAAGCATTATAAATGTTCCTAAATAAATAAAAACTAAAGTATACATATTTTCTTTAAAGATATTGAATGTATTATAGTTGAAGTAAAATAAAATTCAGAAAATAATGTACACAACTCTTGAGCAGTTTCCTCATTTTGACGCTTCTACTTACTATAATTTTAATTTCCTGCGATAGCTAAACCATCTTCTCGCGCAATGTTCAATTTGGTATCCTGTTTCCCAATGGAGGCTGTACTCGCGTTATTATAGATGCGTAATATGGGGGTAAACCACAAGTATAATTTACCTTGCTATTCAAAAAAGTTTATTTTATGGTAAAGTAACTATGATTCAATTCTCTTGAAGTCTTGGTTTATGATTTTTATTGCTGCTACTACGAAATAATAGGTAGATAAAATATAAAAACAGCTTTGTACCGTTTAGTGGGGTCTTTGTTGCAATGTCTCAGAAAACTTACCACAGTTTATGTTTTTTAACACCATCCGAAATTAATGTTTTCAGTGAAGAAAAGCCAAAATTTAACGTGAAAATGTTCGAATGTATGTTCTTTTCCGATATTAAATCAAAATAAGGTGAAGAAATCAATATTTCAATTAAAATATAAATTATGTTTTTGTTCTTGCACTGGCTCGATTTTCCCATCTGTAATAAATAAAAATATTCAAATTTCAATTCATAGATATGAGAGGCGTTACGACCCTTTTTTAATACTGTCTTTCTTAGAGCTGGTTGTATATTGCGTCATAATTTGGGAGCAACCAGTTTGAAACTGTGTAATTTTAACAGCTTCTGATCACGCCCTATCCGGCTTAAACTTAAAATTATATTTTGAATTTATTATTGGAAATTTTATACAATATCTATGTCAATATAATAATAATCATTAAACAAAAATTTGTGTAAGCAAATCATTGATATGTAGCGCATAAATTGATTACATTGGATTGATGATATTTTCATTCAATTACTCCATCAAGTTATCTCTTTCGTTTCTTAAGTTTTACAAGCAGGTAACTTACTTAATATTCTGTTAACAATATTTTAAGGTACTAATCGCTTAACATTAGTAAATATTTATTTAGCTTAAAACCGTTAAAACTATTCATAGAATTATGGTAATTACTAACTACAATATATTTGAGCAGTTTGCCTTAGACAGACAGGAAGCACACAAAATATAACATTCAAAAGAAAGCGAGAGAGAAAGAGTTAATTAAAGAAAAAAATTGTACATATGTACATACAGATATACAGAATTACCCCGAACACTTAATGAAAATAATTGATAATGGTGTGAATAATAAATATTCACAAACGAAATATTAGTATATGTAACAAAGTAGTAGTTCAATGGCACCAGAATTGAAATTCATTAATTTTATTATGTAATAATATTTCTTCATTCCATAAGGGATTCCCTGCTTTAATTAAACATACCGTCTGTTAGTTCCAGCCTATTTAATGCAGACCTAAAAAGGTGCTAACAACCACTTATATAATTAATTTTTCCATGATTTTATTTAACTTCTTGGTCTATTACTCTACCTTTTACATCAAACGGCTGACAATAATTTGTCAATGGACTCTCTCAAGAAATGAAAACTAGTTACCTGCTGTCTTCAATGTGCTTAATACTTAAGTTCTCATTTTACGATCTTCGCTTGTGTCTTTAATGCTTCAATTAGTGAACGACTCAAAAGCGTATACTGTTTCACTTGATTCAACCTATCTTATGAGAGCGTAATGTAAATGAACAATCACCACCACTTCTACCGTCCGTAACGTGGGATATCCACGAAAATTGGATTTATCCCGTGGAAACGAGTCAGCTGATAGCTCTCTTACAGCGCCAGTCTCGATATTTTGTAATAATTAAAAATTAAACTTGAATATATTTTAAATATATTAAACCATCTCAAAATCACAGGTCGAATACAATAATTTATAAATTGGCAGACTATATAGTTGAATTTTAGTTTTGATCTTTTATATTATGAAAAATTATATCTGAAAAGTTAGATGTGTGCAAAACTGTATATAAAAATTGAGAAACAGCAACGAAACAAACAACAAATATTAAATTTTCTATAACGCACTCAAAAAGCATAATTACCAATAAAAAAAAAATGTTGACTTTGAGTCACAATAGTAACGAAATTTATTTGAAATTGATTTTATTTTAACTTTTACGTATTTGAGTTGCTTACAAAACATAAAAAATCGATAATCGATTAATATCTATGATGATCTATATAAGTGAAATGTCAGTATATTCAAAATGGAAAACAAGAATTCTTATTAGTTTTGTGACCTGCTTACTATGAGATGACAAATTTTAGACAGTATTTTCTGACTGCATCGTAAATAGTAACTTGTCACAAATTGCGATTTTACTTTAAAATGTCTCAAATAGGGACTTAGAGACTGCTTCAGTGAGGTGTATTGTGGGATAAGTATGTTTTTGTACAAAAAATTAATTTTATATAGGACTTATAAATATGTGGTTTATACTACAAATAATAGAACTCTCTCTCTCACTTTCTTCTTTAATCTTTCATTTCATCATTCATTTTTCTATGATTACAAGTAGGTACATTGTTTTGAATATTCACTTTTTCCACGAATTTCCAGCCTCTTTAATATTGAACCCTTTTTAAAATAACATTGTCTGCAATTTTTAACAGACCTCAATGCAACAAACCTAGTTGAATATGAGTATGGGTACGTATCTATATATATGGTATCTTCAGCTATTTTTTTTACAGTCTGGTTGTTGGTACTTTATTATTTCGTTATTTCTAGTCATTTTTGGTCATAACAATCTTGCAATCTTTTCTAAACCGACGACGTGGCATTTCGGGAGCTATCAATAGTTAAACTAGAAGCACGCAAACTCAGGGATGCCAAAGATAAATTACTCCGGTACAATGGTTTTGGTGATGAATTTGTGGTCAATAGCAAAGCGGTGCTGTCAACATTTGGCGCAGCACTGGTCAAGCCGTTACAGATGATCGTCTTTTCATTGGAATTATATACAACTCTACCGTTCGCTGCGCAAAGTGGCGGCATAATATCACCCGTATCGATTGTCAGTAAACCGTCAGCAGCAGTATCATTGATATTTAAGCTGTTGGTGGGTCCACTGCCTCCACCAGGACCACAACTGCTTTCATTACCACAAAGATGAAGTCGAGAGCTCAATAGTTTATTACATGCTGGACAAGCACGAGAGGCGCCCTTCTCTCGCCGTCGCAAAAGATCATGAGCGCAGCTATATTTATATAAAGGAAAGTAACTAAAATAAATATATATATTTCGCAAGAGTGATAGAATATAAAATTGCACTTTCCACAGGTAGGTGCCAAACATGTTACAGTTTTAAATAATTCTTAAAAGTACATACATACATATATTATATAACAAACCAGTTATGTATTTTTGTTGGCAGGTAATCAATACAGTTTTTATACCGAACGAACACTAATCGGAACAAACATGTAATATGTTAATAAGTGCTTTGTAATAACATGCCCGCCTCTTTAAAGGAGTCAAGCCATCCGCAATAAATAGAGGAAATACAAATAAAACATTTAAGCAGATTTGTGATAGGGTCAAGGCGCTTTGCCGATAACTGATATCCAACTACAGAAGTTTTTAATCTGGCGTTACAAAGCACTGTATATAATAGCCATCTAACCTAACCTCACCTCTGACCATCAGGATGACGATACGAGTTTAAATCAGTGTGACTGTTTGTCCGACGCGATAACTTGAGTAAAAATTAAGATATCTGGAAACTTGCTACAACTATTCATTGGCATCCGAGGAACGTCGGTATTGCATGTGGTACGTAATCGGACCACTGTTGCGCCCACAAAAAGCCATTAAACGAAAAATTATTAAGTGCCATAACTAAGCACTTAATTAAGATACATAACTGTTATTTGGTACAGGGATCGAAATAGTTTAATGTACACATCTTCCAAACCAGGAACTCCAAACTTGTTGAAAATACAAGTAAGTTGTTTTAGAACCTCTTTGTATGTTGTGAAAATGGGTGAAATCAGAAAATATCACTCCCCATATAATGGTTATGTTGAAAATTAATAAAAGTGCGACAACAGAGCGTATAAACGCGCCACAATCATTAAATTTCACAACCACAATGCAGGGGAAGAGCTTTATAAGAGCAGGTGTAAAAATTCGACAATGAGCGTGGCACCGCTCACCTTTACGTAAATCCTATATCCCAGGGACTATATTTGGTGTGTGAAATTGCCCATTTCTTTCACACACTGTGAAATTAGGCGAAATCGGATGACAACCACGCCTAACCTAACAACCTTCTGAACTCAATCTTATTCTTTCACTTTTCAGTATAAATATGTATCAGACATCAATAAAGTTATCAGAGTAAAACTTTGCACAAATTGTACTGTCAAGGTGTTTAATCTTATGTCTAAATATCGGGCTATAACACAGACACCAAATAAGTGGACCCAATGTATATGACTGATTTTTTACCGAACTTAGCGGTCAGTCTGTGAGTTCTAGTATTGAAATTCGAGGAGAATATTTGTGTGATGACAGCATACCCTTGTGCCAAAAATGGGTACAATCGAGTAAATACTTCCCTTAGCACATACCTAATATAAATATTTCGAACTTCCGGTTTATTTTATACCGCAACTATCGGTCAAGAAATCTCTATGAAATTCAGAAATAATCTCTTTCTAATAACAGTTTATCTTCTCGCCGGTGATTGTAAATAATGGAGGCAATACTTCCTACTTTTAATTAAAACATATTCTAAAATTCCATGCAAGAGTATAAAATTTTCGGTTACACCCGATACCCTTCCTTACTTGTTTTTTATTATAATTTGTATGCAGTGTCTACTCATATATGATCAGCTCAGTGTTTTTCGCTTATTAACAATAGTGTGCAAAAAATATGATTCCTTGGGTTGAACGTAGTCACCATTCCGCTGTAGTAATGACGTTGCACCTCTTCACTTTAGTGAAAAAGGTGTTAAAACTGGGACAAAAATGTACCAACAGGATCCAATATTATCTTCGATGGAGAGCATTATCCAACAGAATATATGGCAGGACTAGGTTGTATACTTTTTACCGCAGCAAAATAAGAAAATTATATTAAAATCTAGTTAAATCTGATTGCTTTGTGTTACCACGCAGCTGCTGCCACATTCATGGTTGTAATCAAAGTTATTATCAAAAGCATCATTCTAACAGCGCGAATAGAGCAATGGTGTTCCGGCTTTAACATTTTGTGGATTTCCTTTATTGAGGTGTAAATAAACAAAAAAACTGTCATAAATCACGGTATTTTTGAAATAGTTTAAAAAGAAACTGGAATCGAGATAGCATAACGATCCATAAACGTAGTTCCAGTCCGAGTCCATGGTACTACTTATTATACTAGTGTCTTAACTATATTTCTAGATCGGGACTCCTTGCTGAGAACTTCATTGTAAAAGTGCGTACTTAAATTATGTTTTTCGGAACTTAACATCTCTAAAGTTACTGAATAAATACGGCAAGATTCAGAAATCTACCATCCTTATCGTCGCCAAAAATTATTTCCAGCTGAAATCGTTAAGCTCACTGACAGGTCAACTCCACTTGTCCATAATTTGGGTTTTCAGTCTCAGGAACAGTTTCGGCAACAAAAAATCACGGGAGTTGGCCAAATTAGGAGCCCCTCTAAACGAGTTCGAGGCAGAGATAAGGCCATGCCCGCTAAGATGGAAATCCAAGATAGCAAAGCAGATATTGTCAAAATATGGCAAAACAAGAAGTAAGGATTTATTGAATAGGTCTAGGAAAATTATATATAAACTTGTATGTGTCCTGTGCCACTGGTGGGTGGCATTATAATACCGGACTAGCTTATATAATATGTATGTAATGGCTAATACTTATAAAAACAAATATTTTAGTTTTTATTGTTTCACTTTTCGCAAAAGTAATGAATTGTATAATAGCCTACAACCTACTAAATCTTTTAATTGCTCCTATCGGTAGCAAAAATTTGAGTTAAAAAGCAATATCTCTCCAAAGTGAGAAGTAATTTCGAATCAAGCTTCTTTCTGTTGCAACTAAATATTTTCCAAAATAAGGCTTTTGAAAGTCAATTATCTGCTTATGCATTTCATGTTGCAATGGTAATTACTTAAAGAGCATATATTATATAGATACTTAAGTGAATTAACTACTAACCGTGCATGTAGGATATGAGCACATGGTAATGCCTCTATTGAGTTTGGCTCCAGGCCAAAAGTATCGCCGCATGCACCGCAAAACAGCCCAAGCGCTGCATCTGTTTGACCCGCTAATCGCAAATGTGTACTGTACTGTTCTTCATCGCCTAAAGCACGATAGATAAGAGCAAGACGACTCCTTATTCTACGCACCAAAAGCTTTCCAGATGCATAGAATTATAATATAGAAGAAATTGATAGATGCAAGTCAACTAATATAACTTGAGAATAATTTCAGAAAACTGAAACGTACCTTGGAACCAATGGAGCTTGCAACCTCAAGCAAACGCGTATTAAATTCAAGTGGCCGGCAATTACAAATTTTTTGCTGTATCCGCAATGATTCTAAGCAGCGCGCAGCTCCATCCATTGCTTCCATTTGTGCCATGCGATCGCCCAATGCAGCAGAAGTTCCCATAGCTTGTTCATATTGCCGAAAAGCGCGCTTGAAGGTCAAATTTTATAGAAAACTTATAAATTGCATAAAAACTAAATATAAACTCACATCCATGTCCACTTTCTTGCGATATATATCACCCATTACTCGTAAGCTGCGGGTATACGTTGCTTGATCTCCAGAAATCAACGCAAGGCGAGTGGCTTCCTGAAATAAAGTAAAGTAAATTGTAGTAACCATTATGAATTCACCAGCTATGCTTGCAAAAAAACTATACATACCATACAATAGTCATGCGCGTCACCCAGATCGCCTTGTTTGCGGAGAGCAGCCGCCATCCGCAACAATGCAGCGCGATGGTGTGACGAATTGAGATCACCCAGCTGTAAAGAGCGCGATAAATCATATGCCTTAGATGCATAGGTTGCACTCTTATTATTATCCTGAAGGCGACCGAACAGCTCAGACAGCGTCACATATACCTGCAACTCAAGCGATGGATCACCTATAGAAGTGGCTATCTTATGTGCCCCTTGCAAGCCCTCAAGAGCACGCGAAAATCCTCCCATCTCCAAGTAAACGCGTGCCACTGTCAAATGCACAAGGCCTCCAGTTCGACATTGGGTCCCACATTCGTTATACAGGGAATGGCGTGCATAACTGAGAGCACGTTCCAGACCGCCTAGACGCTCGTGGGCTCTCGCCAAATTTAGATAAGTTTCCGCACGCATTGTAGGTGAATCCAACTCTTCAGATATTCCTAACTGCCGATGTCCGAATTCTATCGCTTCACGATATTTACCCCAATCCATATGCGCTTGATAAAGATAACCTAGTAATTGAAAACAATCTTCACGGCGATCAGTCGCTTTCAAAGCGCTTCGCCAAATGCGTACCGCAGCATTTTGATCATGTTGTTCATAAAGACGCAAACCTCGTTCAATCTATGAATATTGTAACTTTTTATAATAATCCATGATTTTTGTTTGTAAAAAAAGTATGTCTTTATTTACCTTTCGTCGTGCCATATACTGTTTTAAACTGCGTTGACAAACCAAAAAACAATTAATAATTGAATTATGAGAGGCAGATATTCCATGCCGCGCCCAAAGCGATGTGCCATCAGGGCTGGACCCACAACCAGCCAGTCTTGAATAGCTTTCATCTAATTGACTCAGATCTATAAGGTAGTTTCATTTAATTAGCTTATACCTATGATGTCCTGCCTTTATGGTACTTACCATTGAAGTTTTCCAATAAGTAACGCGAACCATCCGGCGATGCAAGCAAATGTGTTGCTGATAAATTATGGCTATGCGGTATACTAATCCCGAGGATTCATTTAATTACATTTGAATCGAAAGATATAAGAAGACATGATTAAATATGGTTGTGAAATACAGTTATTTTTTCACAGATTTCTGTAACAAATGTTAAATATGGTTAAAATATTCGCGCAAAACTTCAAATGCTTTTTCTTTCTCAAAAATATAACTTTTAATTTCGATTTTTTACAAACAATTAACAGTTAGTTCCCGAAAATCTGGAAAAAAATTTCCAGAAACCGAAATTTTGTTATTTGGAAAAAACAGGTTCGATAAGGCATTCGAATAATAAATTTTTGAATAAAACAAGTTTTGTTTTCCAATTGATTTTAGATGAGTCTTCAAGGATTAGTAATGGTCACCGCAAGAGCTTTGGTTTGAACTGGATCAATACCAACAGCTTTTACTTTTAAAATTATAAATTTTTTTTTGGTAAAATATCTGTCAAGTTAAGTTGAAACCATATTTAGTGATAGTACGTTATTACTTTTATAAACTAAAATAATTTACTGCCAAAATATATTTATGAAATTGCTTTTTAATGTCACTGACTACACCTAACCCCTTAATGAATTTATTGTAAATTTTCTTAAGCCTATAATAAATTATATACATTGTTATTACTCATGTTATTCTTCCCTAACTTTTTGAATATTTTACTGAATTATAATCTTCAAAAAGGCGCAAGACATCCATCAAAAATTCAACCCTACGTTTTAACTTTTTTCCTTAAATTTGCAATTTTACCACCGAGCCTTAAGAAGTTTCACTTCAAAAACCATAAGCGGTCATAAAAAATTCTAAGAATCTTACCTGAGAAGATCCTTTGAAGATATGCTCTCCCATGACATGATTATACCGCGTCTACTAAGTTACAATACTTTATTATACTTTTTTTTTGAAAGTAATGAACAGGCCCTAGAAAAATAATAATATTATTAAAAACAAACTTATTATTCCTGCCCTTGATTTTGTGTAGCGTCCATGCTTACGTGTCTATGAGAAATTATATTTTATTTTAAGTCTTAGATTTTTAAAACGAATAAAAAGCATTTGTATTTTCACTTTTCACGGTTATTAATCAACTGAAAATATCAATCAACCATTAATAAAACTGGTATAAATTCTGTAAAATAAAACTTGATAGAATTGAAGAAATCACATTTATGAGGTATCCGCATACTCCTTTGCCTCAAATTAAAGCTCAATTATAAATCACAGGTGCTTAAAAACAGCTATTTTCAAGCGCATTGTGTTAGACAAGCAACGTATTAGACATTTCTGTCTTCACTAGTTCTTATAATAAAACCATTTTGAGCTGAATGGTTAATTTAATCGTTGAGTGGCAATACGGAATAGCAGAATATAATTGCTCTTAGAGATGAAATATGCATATCTCTTAGAAAAATGATTTAAATCTTTAAAAAAATGTGCTAGTAACAATTTATCATTACATTTTTTCATGCTTGATCTTGTAGTCTCTCATCTTTTAAGTTTTATGTTCTGAAGGTCTCTCAGGCTCTAAAGATTACAAAATCAGAATCATGTAATGGGATCATGTAGTAGAAACTAGAAATATGCATGTCTCTTAGAAAAATGCTTTAAATCTCTCAAAAAATGTGCTTGTAACCTATTTATCATTACATTTTTTCAAGCTTGATCTTGTAGTCACTCATCTTTTAAGTTTTATGTTCTGAAGATCTCTCAGGCTCTAAAGATTACTAAATCAGAATCATGTAATGGGATCATTTAGTAGAAACTATAATATAATATTTGCGTGTATATTTCAGTAAATATATTTATACATTAGGCCCTCTAAAATATGCTCATAGGGTAGGTCTGTTTTTCATGATATAGCATTGAAAAACACATACTATTCTAAATAATTTTCACGCTTATGTAATCAGGATTTTTAATCGCAATTTTTACATTATAGTCAATTCTTTTGCGGTACTTAAGAGTGAATGGCACTTAAAATTATCTCGCTTAAGTACCATATGGTACTTACGTTCTGTTTGTTAAAAATATCCATTAAAATATAAAAATGCAACCTTTTTAATTAAAAAAAAAGAAGAAATTTGCAGTTCTTAGCAGTATTTAATATCTATTATATTATTAAGTTTGTAAAGTGGTACATAAGAGGAGAAATTTGTAAATAAATTTTTGTATGAGGCAGAAAATTATGTAGTACATAAGCGAGTGGTACTTAAAAGATAACTTTTATATATGTATTTAACAAAGGCTTGAGATGCAGTAAGACACAGGCAGATAAGAGCGATTGGCACCTAAGAGAGGTGATACTTAAGGATTAGATTTATTCCGTTTCATTAACAGTGCCTCAATATGGTAAACGAATGTAAAAATTGTAGTAAACTATAATTATATGAATAAATAAATTCAGGTGTCTCCCGCTGTTTTTTGGTTTTATTATTGTCTCGATCGTAGCAGTGACTGTTATACGTATACTTTTATTTTTTACTGCAAATTTCAAGTTAATTTTATTGTCATGGTGAGTTTACCTTTATTTCCTTGTGCATCTCGAAAACGGACAACACGTATTTTTCACGAACGAAACAACGCTTTTAACGTGTTGTAAATCCACCAGAAACTACTCTCACCGAATGTTTTTAATTGTGTAAAAATACTCCTCTATTTAGAAGTACAACGCTATTTTACATCGGCTCAATCGAAAAAATTTATGCCTCGCAAGCAAAGCAAAGATAATTTGGATCATGTATATAAGACATATATTATGTCAATCTAAGGCAGACTAAGTGGTTCTATCTGCCACTGTGGTTGGTTAATGTCACCGGACCATTGTCATTTTAAGATATACGTTAAGTAAATGGACAACGGTATCCAACATATAAAGATGTAGGTATGCCTTGCTCTAGGCTTGCTAGAAGATGACATTCATTGGGACAGTATGCTTGCTGAAGCAGTATTAAACTGAACAGGAACACAAATTCGTCTACTACTTTACTATAGCACCGACAACATGTTTCCCAACCCGATCACATCCTTTCAGGTGAACATGTGCGGTCATATACTTCAAGAGCCATTTACCGAAGCTTTCTCCAAAAAACCGTTAGGTATTGGCAATGGAAAAGTAGCTATACATGAAAATACTGGATGCATAAAATTACTGACGGATTTCTACACAATCAGCAACTTGCAAAATACTACATATATTTCCCGATGTACACACAAAATATAAAAATATTGAGTGGCTGGCAGAAACATCGCTATTGGACGTTAATGGATCAAATTCAAAGATACAACAGTTGTTACCAGTGGACCCGGTCACATACAAATCTACCGATGCTTTTTGCAATGCCAACGAAGTTTCTGAATTCATTGGATATGCCGAGCATGCCACCGCACAATTTACAACGGGCGGTTGGATCTCCGGTTATTTTGCTTCGTAATTTGATCCCATCACGGCTTTGCAATCGTACATGATTAGTCATTGAAGAAATAATGAAAAACATAATCGAAGCCATCGTTTTGAATGGCAAGTTCCGATCGAAAATGTTTTGCTGCAATGAATCCCTATTATTCCTACAAATGTGCCAACTAAATTTTAACACATTCACTTTCAAATTCGCAATGGCGATTAATAACTTACAAGGCCTGTTTCTGTATATTTGTGGCTTAGATTTGTGTACAATATGCTTTTCCCACAGACAACTTTATGTGGCATGTTATCGCATAAGCAAACCAACCAGTTTGTTTGTATGCGCTAAAGACTGGGCAAAAATATTATACATTCCATTGCGTTGTAGATTAATGTTTGTTTATTTTTAATTGACATAATTAGTGGTAGAAATAAGAACTATTTTCAGTATAAGCTATCAATAATTGTAATTTAATATATTGTATATTTCATCTTCATTCCTCTTTCAGTTATAAATACTTTTTCTTCTTAGTTACTTTTAAATATATTTCCTAAAAATATGTTTCCTAAAAAAATATTTCCTAAAAATTGCGCATATGGCAAAACAACAATTGCCGAGTCAGCTAGTATATATAGTACATGTATACCTGTAATCAGCGAGACGAGCTGTCTAAAATTTGGCACACGTTCTTTACTCCCCAAGAAACTGCTCTTTCGCCGGAATCGCCGATATCGAACCATAATAGCATTTATTTTCCATTAAAACTTATCGATCAAAGTTAACATCCAGTTTAGAAAACTTTTAATTCAGTAAGATTTCTTCACGAAATTCGACAAGGATTATGTAAGCAAAAATGTTTTATGAAGGATTCTTTGAAATGAAAAGGATTCGAAAAAAATAGATACTTAAACGAGAATTGTACATAAAATTTGCTCACTTTAGATAGTCAGATAGGTAAATGTTTAGAACAGCGGCTTTTCTGAAAAAATTATCTATTTTTTTTGGAAAATGTCTTAAAATATGTGTTTTTATATGTAATTGACCGATAAATAGGGCGAATGCAGTTTTTTTAAGGTAAGGTCAGGCTAGTTAAAAAAAAAATTAAAAAAGGTAAGGTTAGGCTGAATTTTAAAAATAAGACAAAGTAAGGTTAGGTACCAAAAGGAAAAAGAAAACAAATAATTCCCCAGTGACAGGAAATAAATAACACCTAATTAGTTTTGGGCGTAGAATTCTTTTTGCTTTGCGGCCTTAGGTCACGTTTTAAAAAAAATGATCATCGGGGTGTTCTCAGTTCTTTCGCATAGACCACCATTTTGCGTTGGCAGAAACCAAAACCGGGGTGTTCTCAGTTCTTTTGCGTAGTTCTCCAACACCGGGATTTACCGAGAGAAAGGAAATTCTGAAAATTTTTTCTTTACTCATCACACGATTATGAATTATTCATCATTGAATATAATATAAATTATATCATTAAAACAAAAAAATTCTTGTTTTCAACCGCATGGGTTTCTTTTTTTGGGTAATTACATTTAAAAACACACATTTTAAGATATTTTCCAAAAAAAATTGGACAATTTTTTCAGACAAACCGCTGTTATGAACAATTACCGTCAGATAACTTGTAATATAATCCTGATTTTAACTTGCATTTCAGGACTGAAAAATAATAAAAACAAGAACAAACGTTAACTTCGGTTGCACCGAAGCTATAATACCCTTCTCAAATACAAAGGCCCCTTACATGAACTTGATTCCGAACGTTCAATTTGTATGGCAGTTATATGATATAGTGATCTGATCTGACCAATTTCTGCGGAGAATAATATGTTGCCTTAAGCAAGAACTCGTGTCTAATTTCGTGAAGATACCTCGTCAAATAAAAAAATTTCCATGCAAGCACTTTACTCCGATCGTTCAGTTAATATGGTAGCTACATGTCATAGTCATCCGATCTATACAATTTCTTCGGCGATAAGATTATTGCCTTAAATAATAATCCATGCCAAATTTCGTGAAGATTCCTCGTCAAATGAAAGAGTTTTCCATGCAAGCACTTGATTCCGATTGTTCAGTTTGTATGGCAGCTATATGCTATAGTCACCCGCTCTGAATAATTTCTTTGGAGATTAAATTGATGCCTTAAATAATAATCCGTGCTAAATTTCGTGAAGATACCTCGTCAAATGAAAGAGTTTCCCATACAAACACTTGATTCCGATTGTTCAGTTTGTATGGCAGCTATATGCTATAGTGGTCCGATATCGGTCGTTCCAAAAAATGAGCAGCTTCTTTGTCAGAAAAGGACAGGTGTAAAGTTTCAGATCGATAGCTTAAAAATTGAGGGACTAGTTTGTATATACACATACAGACGGACAGACGGACAGACAGACAGACGGTCATGGCTAAATCAACTCAGCTCATCATACTGATCATTTATATATATATTTTATAGGGTCTCCGACGTTTCCTTCTGGGTGTTACAAACTTCGTGGCAAACTTAATATACCCTGTTCAGGGTATAATACTAATTTCTTGTATGAGAAAAGATAGTAAGCAGACCAGTTGTACAAGGGAGTAAGGCAATTTAAACCTAGTTTATTTTACTGAAGACAATGCATATAATTATTGTGGAAGCAAGCAACTAAAGATTTGAATAAATTTGTACTGTACATACACACTTTAATGTAATAGTAAACGTTTTAAAATGAGACTTTAACAAAATCTTTGATTGAAAATTAAAAAAAAGCACTGTTCTGGTCCAGGGCGCTAGAAAAAACAAACCACTGCTTGTTGGGCTACTCTTTAAGATAAGAACTGCTCATAAATAAATGTTTTTGAACTTCATTTTTGGGAGGGAAGTGCATATTTAGTCAGAGACTTTAACTAAAAAACTTCAAGGACACTTAGTACCTCTACCCTAAATGTGCGTAGGTAAATTTTTTATTTTTTTCAATTAAATATATGCTAATAAACAACATGAATGATTGTATCCTTTTTTAGGCGCATGACCGTTGTTCATTTGCCACTTTTTGCAATCACCATATATTGAGATAGTCCTTGAAGCCTTCCAAGTAAATGGGTTTGGTTTATTGCATATGAAATGTCGGAATTTGTTTACAAGCAATTATTTGAAATTGTTCACTCTTCTTCAAATTCTTTTGTTGATGTTATTGCACATAGACTTTGTATTATGAATACTTTTCAACTATTTAAAAACTCACAAAAACTTCTTCGATGCGAGAACATTAGGATATTAGTTTATACAACGAGAGGAATCATCTGCAAGGATGTGTTATAATTCACATTGCTGTAGTTTTTTTACAGCAGCATCACGTAAACATGTCAAAAAGGTATAGGTGTATGTAAGCAATGAATATACATATGCAGGTGTAAATTCCCGTGCACGCGCTAACAAAAATACAGATATCTGTTAATAGCTTAAATCGTACTGTTCACAAACCTCGCTGTCCTTTCGTTCTGCCCTGCTCGACGTGACTCTTCTCAACTCAAATTAAAATAATTCGTCACTAGTTGTTGATGCTCTGCTCAAAATCAGGGATAATGGAATGCCCAACTCTTTCCAGTGTGAGAGCGCCTCAAAACTGGCGTTTTTTATAACATTTTCGACTGTAGCCAGATCGGACAAAATAATAATTTTTGGGCATTTAAATTATAATACCCAACATTTATTAAGATTAAATATTATTATACAAGTATCCGTTAAACATATGGGAGAACTATTTAAATTCGTTTTTGTGATTTTGTGATATATTAAAACAACTGATTTTTGAACTTTCAATACTTAAAGAGAGAAAAAATATATTAACTCTTATTTAGTAAATGTTTTTTATCATTTTCAATTGACAATTAATACTACGGAGCATGGCATCACAAAAGATTTCATCACATACATTTCAATTTTTCGTTTTCTTTCATTTTTATTGTTTTCCAATTTTTGTTTGTGATTTTCAACAGCAGTAACAAACTTCTCTGTTCACATATTTTTCTGTAGGATTTCAATCTGGCCGTCCCTCCTTTTCCAATTGCTAAACCTCAGACCTCCTGAATTTTGACAGTTGCCTGAGTTCAGGAGGTTTTGACGTTTAGCAATTGCGCTCTCATTTCCAGTGATAGATGATTTGGGCATCTCTTTATCTCTGCTCAAAATGTCATCGGTTGTCTGTACATTCCAGTTGTCATCCACAAACACATTCACTGACACTTCTTCGAGTTCGCCTTTCCCTCCATTTCATTTATTAACCTTTAGTATACAGTGAATAATTTCGCTCGTTATCCTTTCAATCCGCCTTTTATGATCGAAACTTTATTTTATTTTCAGCCATCTGTGCCTGTATCCTTGTTCACATACGCGGCAATTTAATATTATTTAGTCTACTTACTAGTAGCATTTAAAAATGTTAATATATTTTTTTACACCACCTACTTAGAAATCGATATAGAAATGAAAAATAGATCCAAAAATTCTGTAAATCGCCGTATATTACGGTATTTTAAATCAACTAAGTTTACGAATTTGCTACTGCGTGATATCCGGTTAAGTTTGATCCTTTGAGTACGTTATGTCAATTGGCATGTTTGAATTGAGCCCTTGACAACATTTCTCTCCAACACTTAATCTTACAGTCATACGTATCTCACAAACCATATTAATAAAATATAAACTGTGCGCAAATTTGTACCAATCATTTTAAAATTTTGACCTCCAGTTCAAATCTCAGTACCGTGGATCTTTACACCAGCTATAACGTTTTCTTTATTCGAAAATGATAATTTCACTGTACAGTTATATTGCACTGTGTGGTTGGGAATGTTGGCATTCTGTTCTTACACGTACAAAAATATGTGATTGGTTTCTAATTCTTAAAGCTCAATAGAAGTGGTGAAAATGAGGACTTTTTATAAACAATTTATATTTATTACATAAAATCACATATATAATGTATATTTACACAAGCATAGTTATTAAAGCAAAAGAGATATGCACTCAAAGCAAATTTGTCTATAAAAAATGTCTTTAACAATCACTTCTGATGCGTTGATAGTTCACAAAATATTAACACATTTCAAATTTGCTTGTATACAAAAAATGGGAATTCCTCTAAATTTGTGATATGAACATATTATATTTCGCCGAAATTAAATCTGCCAAATAAAATTTAAGCCCAAAAAATTTTGAATCGTGCGAAATGGAATAAAATTCAAAATGTTTTTATTTCCAACCGTGTTAAATCAAAACCGTGCAAAAACAATATTTGATAGAGCTGCAAAATAATGTACTATATATGTATATGACAATCGATAGTTTATTTTGACTATCGATGGTTTATGCCTTAACTAGACTTACCAACAATTTTCATAAAATTTACATTTTACAGAGTCGGAGAAAATGTTTATCCAAGCTGGATTGCAAATCTATATATATAAAAATGAAACCCTTTTCCCGTTGTCACGCCATAACTTGAGAACGGCTAGACCGATTTGGCAGTTTTTTTTATAGTTTTCTAATACTCTGTAGAAGGTTCTTACAATATTAAGAAAATGTCTTAAAAAGATTGAAAAAATACATTTAATTTAGCATATTTTAAAAAACGCGCGTAACGAATGTCATCGTCATTCACAGCCATAGACTATATTGAAAGAGCATCGTTTGTTCGGAAATGTGGTTACTTAATTAAATTCTACAAGTATCGCACTAATTTACTAATTTTTGAAAATTACTCGCCACTGTTAAATGTACCGACTTTGACGGTAATATTAATAATACCAGTGATTATTTCATTTTAATATAAGTATTTAATAATAATAAAATATGTATACTATGAGTTAGATTTCAGAATAGAACTTAGATTTCATATACTAACTGCAACCAAATACGAAATGCCCTAAACTTCCACCAATTTCAGCACTCTTGTACACGGTCAAAATTAATTAATTGCCCGTATTTTCCCAGTCGCACAAAATAATTATTTAAATCATAACTGGCTCGGTAATCGAGCTATATAGACAGAAAAAAATGCTGAAATTAGTTTTGATGATAACATTTTACTAAATTAAACTGCTTACTCAATATAGTTTAATTATACCTTAGCCACAGCAAAGCGTGGCCGGGGTCTTCTAGTATCTAATAAAAGAACAGAACTAAAGTCTAAATACGTCAACAAATTACTATTTTTAAAGAAAAAGAAGTGAGTTATTGAGGAATAAAGTACTTTACCGAAACGTGTTTTAAGTATAAATTGCTTGATCTCATATTACATTAGTAAATGTATAAAAATATGTACCTTTTTATAACTCATCAACTCTACTTGCATTTTGGAAAAGTGTAACTTTAATAATTTTTTTGTGGTTTTTGTTATAAAGTTGTTTGTTAAATAAATCCAAAGATTATTTCATAAAAATTAAATGTACAAAGCCAAAGCCATTTAATTTAAACCAGCAAAAAGTAAGTAGATTTCAAGGGGAAAAACTATCGTTAGTATCTTTTTAAGCTATCGAAACTATCAAGTGGGCCGACTATCAATAGTTTTGCAGCTCTAGAATAAGGTGTACTTACATAATATACAGTCAGCGTCCAAAATTACCATTTATGAGATTCACGTCTAAAATCATAAATTTTTTTGAAAATGTAAATTCTCATAAATGTTTTTTTTTAACTATTGCTAACGTTACATTTAATTACTACACAGTATTTCGTTAAAACAAAAGTAAAATGCACAAAATACTTGTGTTAAAAAATGCAAACGCTACAAAAACACAATAAAAAATTAGCATAAAGTTGGCATATATTATAAGTACCGCTAATCTAAGATCTAAGAATTTTGGTGGTACAGCATCGTAAAAACGGAAAGTCTTGAGGTGAAAAAACCAAAATTGTCAACAAAAGTGGTTAAACTGTCCTAAGAATTATAAACACTTATGAATTCCGAGGTGATATAAAAACTGTTTTATGTGCTGCAGGATAACTTTGTAAAACGTTGCTAAAAGCAATGCATTGGGAAAGGTAATCGGTACTCTGTGACACAATCGTTTTCATTTAGTTGTGAGTGTTTTAATATAAATGGTGTAAATATGATAAAAAATGGATAATAAAAAAAATAACTATCAGACTTCAATGTCATTGAAATAAATCCGTATTATTACACCATATAAAAAATATAACTGAAATTTAATATGTTTATCGGTCGCGTCGTTAAATGTCTGCCATTTGCTTTTTTTAGTTTTAATATTGCATATTTCGATTTTGTTTTTTCCAAACTTCACATATAATAAAAAAAATTGGAATTTCATTAACAATTACTGTGTTCTTTTTTTGAAGAAAAATCATATCACTCTTATTGGAAAACCCTATACAAGTAGCCAGAGGCACATGTATGCCTTCTTTACCGGAATCTAGTTGTAGATTGGTGCCTGTTCTGACTAGTTCATTTGCTATACAGTTCCATGAGATATCACTGTGTCCTTCGACCCATTGCAGGTTTATCGTGAAATAGGATATGAGATCCGCCAGGATATCAAGGCACTCTTTCACTGTCTTAGACGAAATCCTATGAGACGTTAGAGATTTCAAAGCCGCCTGGCTGTCTGTATATGTAAATATATTTCTTGTTGTGATCACACTCCTTGTCAGTACAAGAAGGCTTTCTTTAATAACTGTGACCTCCGCTTGGAAGACACTGCAGTGGTCTGGAAGCCGAAAGTCGATTTTGGTATCTAGTTTAGCTGAGAAGACACCGCTGCCCATTCAGATATCTAGTTTTGAACTATCCGTATAGATGCTTATTCCTGCCGCCTTGTCTATTTCGCCCCTTCCCCATTTCTTTCTGGAGGGGAAGGCAATATTGGGGACCGGATTTAGATTAAGCCCCATAGAATTTCGAAAATCCATGGTTATGGGAAGAAACGGGAACTTCCTAAGTATCATAGAATGCCCCTTACTACTGGCGACTAGAAGAGAGTATTCCCTCAGCCTAAGAGCTGACTTTGCTGTCATTTACTTGCAAAACAAGTCTCTTGGCAGTAAGTGTAAAATTACGTTTAGCGCCTGGCTTGACGTTGTTCTCAACTGATGTTAATACTGGTTGCTCTTTGTATGCTTTCCATACGTCTAACCGTGTATTTCTTTTCCACCATACCAATATACCGTAAGTCATAATCGGCTTTACAATTGCTGTGTAGAGCTAGTGAGCTACTCGAAGCGTTAGTCTCCATCTGGGCCCCACCCTTCTTTTACACGTGAAAAATGCTACAGCTGCTTTCGTCACCCTAACTTCTAAGTTTGGTTACCAAGAAACTCCTCCCCAAGAACTTCCTGTTCAAAGTTAATCCGAAGTAACTTGCCTTTTCTCCTATCGCTAGCCTGGCGGCGTGATTTCTGCAGTACTGTGTTTCTTAGTGAACAATACTAGCATCGTCTTGCTAGCACTCAGGGTCAGTTCGCATAATACGGCCCATGGATTAATATCGTCTAATATTGTCTGCATAAGGCTAGCGAGGGTTTATGGGAGCTTGCATCTAACCGAAACTCCCACATCGTCAGCATAGGCCACAACATGTACCCCTTCTTTTCAAAATCCACCAACATTTTGTTCATTGTTAAGATCCAGAGAAGTGGGGATAATACGCCTCCTTGGGGTTAACCCCTTCGGACAGATCTGCACATCGTTGAAGCTCCCAGCGTTGAAATAATTGTCCTGCCTTAGAGCATCTGAAATCTACCAGGGTGTATTCTTTTATCTCCGGAGTTGAGTTTGCTTCTTATGTGTATATCTATTATCCTCTCTAACGTTTTTAAGAGAAATGACGAAAGACTGATTGGTCTGAAATCCTCTGGATTAGTGTATGAGCTTCTGGTACCTTTGGTATATATATCACCTTGACTTTCCTTCATAGCGAGGGAATATAGTTTAATTTCAGTGCCCCTTCCTGGGACTACTGTAACTGAGCTGGAAATTTCCCGTCTGGTCCCCGCGATTTATAAGGCTTGAAGCTGTCTATCGCCCAATAAACATTACTATCTGACACCATGCCTACAGGAGGGGACTATGCTACCGATTCACTCTCCAGTGTATGCTTCTTTGTGCTGTTCTCGCGACTGTCTGGGAAGTCAGTATCCATTAGCAGAGTCTCCTAGAGTTTCTTCACTGGATACCGTCCTGCTGTGGTCTGCTTCTAAAGGTATCCGATGTTATGTATCGACTGTGCCATTATTTTTCAAAGTCGAGATGCTTCTGCCGCATTCTCGACGTCATTACAAAAAGATTTACACATTTTTCTTTTTGCCTTCTTACCTCATTTTTTATGACCTTAAGAGGTTATAATAATTACCCCCTATTCTTCTCCTTGGGGTAGTTTGGTTAAATTGAATTTCTTCCAGCAATCTTTCTGCAACTTTTTAAGGCGACCACTGGGGTGGCCTAATTCTTCCCCTACCACGTGTTATTGAACAAGCCACCTATAGTGCTTATCGACAAGAATCTGTGAACTGTTTAACTAGGATGTCTAGGCCCTCTTTATATTCTGGTTGAAATGAGGGAGTCATAGAAATACGCTTTTTTAGGTCCTGTAGGTACATCTGACAGTTCGTTTTCCTATGATTCCTGAAGTTTCCTACCCTATCTACATTCTCTTCAATTACATACTCAATGTAGCGGTGATCTAAAAAGAAGTGTTCTTGTAGTTCTCTCCAATGTGTCATTTTATCTACCAGTTCTTCCGACACAAGTGTTATGTCGAAACTTCCTTTCGGTTTCTAGTTATAAATGTTGGCATACTGCCTCTGTTGCATAACAAAAGCTTAGTTCCTAGTAAGTAATTAATGAGCAACTCACCCTCTTCGTTGACATTAGTGCTGCCACATAGTGGGCGCTGGAGTCGCTCCCAAGTAAAATCTAGCACTGGGATGCTTCGCTGTCTCGTACCAGCTCTTTAATTAGCTACGATGGTACTTCTTCTTCGTCATACGGCATGTAGCATGACGCCAGCCGATACTTATTTTCTCCCGTCTCTCAGCTTATTGATGTTGTTTCGTTATTACTATAACTGTGTAATAAGACGACATTAATCTACTAGCCAATAGATATGCCTTACCTACGCAGCTTGCCATGTATAAATTAAACCCCGTTGTTCTCAGACCTCCATTAGCCCATAGCTCCTGAATGAGGACGAAGTCAGGCCGTTCTTCTGTCATGCGGTTAACAAGGGCTAGAGAAGCTAGTTTGCTATGAAGGAGATTAATTTGGAGAAGACGCATTAATTAGTGTCTTCTCTGCGTCTTCTTGAGAGTCGCTCAAAAGCTCGCTCTCAGTGTAGAGTTTAGAGAGTCTGTCTGCAAGCTCAGACCCCGAAGTACACTCACCTTGTCTCCACGTCATTCAAGGACTCCATTGAATCTTTCTAGATTTCACATTCCGACTCCGATGCCAAGTTTTCCCCTGCATCGGCACCCTCACCTTTGTGAATCCGTAGTCGATTTCCCCGCCACTTTTCGCCAGCGGTTCTATGGATTCCTTTAATAACAACAGCAGAATCTGCATTGTGGCTCGTTTCGTCTCCACGGCAGATTCCGCTGCGGCGTCGTCGAAGGCCTTGACAAATCTCCATTCCCCAGTTGGCAGATTCGGGTTACAGACTCCCGTATCCGGCATCCATACGTTTGCCCTCGGTCGGGATGAGATTTCCTTCTTGTCTACCGCTACTAGCCTGGCTCCGGGGTAGACCTCCCCTCCTTTAGCTATTGCGTCCTTATATAGCTGGACCGATCTCTCGCCGTCACAAGCTATCATCCTTATTCGTCCCTAGTACCATCCTGCTACCGCTTCCAGCTTAAAGTTAGGCAAGACAGCTTTCGCCCAATCAATGGATTCCCGAAGCTGCTTCATAAGCTCGTCATTGGTTGGCGGTTGTCGCTCCACCTTCCTCAGCAGGTATGCAGTGCTTCGCTTCTCCGCATACATTGCCTTCGCTGGACTTTGTATCTTAAAAGTAAGCCATTCTTTGGCTGACGAACAGCCAAGCCTTGGCTACAGTGCTATTGCTTTTTTTTTGGAGCCAGCTTTAGCTTCTGCTCCTTAATTAGTGCATGCCTTGC